CCACCACCACCACCACCACCATTGGCATGGGGTTCGGGACCTGCTGAAATTTCTTATAACTTGTGGTATATCTATTGTTATTCCCCCCGCCCCAGTTTCGATCCCCTTCTCAGTACCCATAGCCAGCTGAGCCTCGGAGGTAAAGGGGGCACAATGAAAATAATCACAATAAAGGGGGCGGGGAAATATGACAGTTACCACATGCACATTTCATACAAAAAGTTTGTGGCATTTCGGTACCAACTGCTCCAGAACGCATCAAACGCATGCTTGGCACATACAAATGTTCATTAAATGCGTGAAAATGAAAAACGCTTACACAAAAATAATTACTCACATCATATGATCGAGACAATTTGCTTTGATGTAAAAAATTCAATTCCCGACATATAAAGCAACCATCCACCTGCATAATATAAAATCTTGTTCACCTTACCTTTTTTCAAAGCAATCTACAAGGGGTAGGCTAATATATGTGAGGGCGCAGTTCATTTGCCATTGGAAACACCAAATCAGTTAGGTCTACTAACGCCGCTTCAGCTCAGTAAAATATAACCAGGCCTGTAGCCAGCAATTTCAAATTGGGGGGGGGGGGGGGGGGGGGGGGAAAAACTGGACCTTTTCCCATTAAAAAGTCATGTACCTAGATCAAATTTTACCCAAAGTGGACCCAAAGTGGACCTTGCGAATCCCCGAACCCCCCTGGCCACGGGCCTGATAACAGGTATTTTTAAATGCATAAAAGTTACAAAGTAATCGAATTTACTATTTAATACAAATAAAGAGACAGAAGAGAAGCTATTGAGTTTTTGTTAGAGTTGCGGCGCTTTGATTAGCACTTTGATTGCATTGCGACAGTTGAGATCGGGTGTTGAGAAACGTGTAATGTGTTCGAGGGCAAAACAAAAATGGCAGCGCCCAGTCAGACACTCGTGTCATACTCGGGCAGTTCAAGTGAAGACGATAATGACGTAAAACTAGACAGAAATGGAAAGAAGCGCACGTGCAGCGATGAACATGGAAGTATAGTGAAGAAGCAAAAAGTGAAAAGCTTACCAGAAAAAGGAATAATTGAAAAAAAGTAAGCAGTAGTGTGTGAGTTATATTGCTCTTCGAAAACACACACATGCACACACACACACACACACACAAAGCTGCGTTGCGTTTTTGCCCCAACAGGATCACCAGGTTGAGTGCCACAGGTCGTTGGATGCAGGTACACCTGTGTACGGTTACTTCTCACTCGTTAATTGGTTACCAGTAACTTAGTTCACCCCCCCCCCCAAAAAAAAAAAAAATAATAATAACAATAATATTAAATTTAAAAAAATCAATGCAATAAAGAATCTGCATATTTTGAGTTTTGACCAATGGTATTTATAGATCAGGGGTGGATCCAGGATTATTTGAAGGGGGGGGGGTCCACCAATGGGGTTATTCTCTACTACTGTTGCTGTGGTCATTCTGCAAATTACTACCCATAAATTAAATCAATCTAAACCCAATGACCAGTGGGTATTCACCCTGACAAAGCTCTTGTGACAGCGTAGCTGTTTCATAACTAATTCGTTCTAATGTACTTATTATCACTAAGACATAAATATGAAATCTTGAAACCATGAAAAATATAATAGATTACACAGTCACTGAATCATAATTAATAAGAAATCCTTGAAACCATGAACATTTACAATATAATATATAGATAACACAGAAAATTGTATAAGTTAATTTTATCAGCAAGTAAACCAAATATGGATACTTTACCCAATATTACACAAGCTTTAAAGCAATAATAACTCTTCCTTTGAGATTCAAAATTCCGCATGAAATACATTGTAAACAACGCATGGAAATATATTCTATTGTATTTTACCACTAAAACGGCCGTTATTGTAGTAAAACTAAAATCTGTGCTTGTCAATAGGGCTTACGATGCTTTTCTTCCTGGTCATCAAGGCATTCGTTGCTAATGACGTAATGGTGTCACGCGGATTCTCGCGTTCATTCGAGACCAAAATAACATATGGCGGCAAACGCATTAATGCAGACGCAGACGTAAGTTGCGAGTTTTTGTACAGTGCGTCGGATAACGAAAAGCCCAGAATGGCACACATTGTGGATATTAATGTATTTTTAACAAAAAGACGAATATATCTCATGAATCTTATATAGTGTTGTTGTTGTCTGCTTTTCCCGCGGTTTTAAGTAGGTCAACAGTGACTATGCGATGTCAGAGAGAGCTCCGTCAGTTAAAATCTCTTAAGAGATTTTAACAAAAAACCGTACGTTTAGGAAAAAAACCCTGGATTAACTTTGAATGCAGGAATGGGGTCGCTGACCATTGGTAAGTACGGGAAAATTGCCGTTTACTCCAGGAAAATCCNACTATGCAATGTCAGAGAGAGCTCCGTCAGTTAAAATCTCTTAAGAGATTTTAACAAAAAACCGTACGTTAAGGAAAAAAACCCTGGATTAACTTTGAATGCAGGAATGGGGTCGCTGACCATTGGTAAGTACGGGAAAATTGCCGTTTACTCCAGGAAAATCCAATTTTTGGCCAAAATGAAGAGTTATTATGACTTTAATTGCTTATAGTTTTTCAGTGAAGTGTCAGTGTAAAAGGTGAGTTATGGACTTAACTCATGGATTACAACTGCTGATCAATTATGTATTGTACATGAAAAAGTTTGTATTAAAAATGTAAACAGTTAGATTGCACATGTGTATGTTCACAATTCATTTTACTATTAAGATCTATTCACCGAAAGAATGTTGGTTGTTTTTTTAAATTCATTTATTTATTATCATTTTTTTAAATATGAAACTCATGAACGGGAACTACAGTCTTTTTTAAAATGCCATGTGGATTCTCCTGTGGTCAGAACAGTCAAAGCCCTTAAGCACTTGGTCGATGGATTTAATACTGAGCAGCTGTGACAGTGCATTCAGGAATAATGTTTTTTTGTACTTGTTTGGTTATCAGATCTAGCAGTTCATTCTACATGTAAATCTATATGCATTGAGCATTTCATGGGCCCTTCTCAATGTGCTGAGACACAATGTTAGATACTGACAACTGAAAAAATACCAAAAAATTTGACCATTCTTCAGTCTTTCCTCTTATTGGCATGTTTTCTTGTACACGTGTCATCAGTGTGATGGCTATTGATCTTAGAATGTCTTTGTTTTCTTTTGCCGTGTTCCTTTTAAGCCTGCGATAGATGCTGCATAATACTTGCTTCTTCCCCATTGCAGATGCGTAAAAACCCTGCTTGTTGTGCAGTGATGCCTTTGCCCTTGCTTTGCTGATGATGAGTGACAATCCTAGACATGCTTCCCTACGTGGTCAGTGGTTTTGAAACCATAAAAGTGCTTCCTTAAGAAAACACCCAACAGGGAACACAGTAAATTTCTTCTTGGGCGCATCTGTATCTTAAATTTTGAAATTCTGCATCGAAAAAGACAGTAGGTGCTCCTTGTCTTTTGCCACTGAACTCTCTTAGAGGCGTTTTCCATCCTTGGATGGTCTGAATCTGGAAGTGAGAACTCCCAATCTGTCGCTGTCTGACAGTGGCTGACTTATCTGCCCAATACCCTGGCTCTGTACAGGAGACTCAGGTGGAATAGTTTTCTGCTGTTTAGACAATGACTTCATTTCTGTTGTTACTTCTGTGTAGTGAGCATCGTCCTGTGTCCTTTTGTGACAGTAATTGCCAGTTGCCAGAAAATAATCTAAAGAACAGTTGATCATTATGGTATTATTAGGCCTTGTTGCTATCCATGTTGTGATATTCATGGTCATCTCGATGACCAAATATTATGAAGAGTTGTGTACAGGTTACATTTACAGACTCTCTACTCTACATATGGAATGATTACTAGGATTAGCAAAGGATAAAACAACTATTGCTAGTGAAGGGTGTATTGTTTCTTCAAACTTTCAGTGATATATATATATATATATAAGGGCTCTTAAACATGTTTCACTTTTTGGACTGAGCAGCCAGTCAAGTTTTTCATGGTCTGTTTTCTGGTCTTCCTTGAGGTATGAGTCTACTTCTTCCATATCTGCTAGTATGTGCTTTACATTTCATTTTAAAATGAATTTCCATTTCAATTTCATCACAGTAGGGGCACTTATGATTCTCAGTAGGCTTTTTTTCGAGATGTATAGCAACCCCGTTCAATTCCCAAGTCGTGATCACTAACCCACATTTTTGCAAGAGTCTTTATTTCCGATTGCGATGCTTTCAGTGAGAGATATTTTTCAGGAGGGTATGTTTTTTAAAGTAACTTTTATGTCCTAAGTTTACTGTAATTGTCACTTTTCAGGTCTTTCCAAAAAACTTCCTTAATCTTATTGTTAATAGTTTCTCTCAGGTTTACAAAAGTATCCAGTGCATGTACATCAGTCTCGCTGAGTCGAGGGCCGGTGAGAGAACCACTGCCGCTGAGCTGCTGATGCTGCTGTTGAGAGAGCAGGCCGAACAGTAGAAAATGCCCAGCTTATATAGAAGCTGGGGCCTAAGACTTCTCTATTTTGGGAGAATTCAAAAAAGGAGGGGGCTGGATGAACTGTTGTTGACAGTTTGTAGTAAATCCCCATATGTCAAAAACTTACCTTTTAGTACAACGCTTCATTTAAAAAAAACGCTATCAAAGATCATGATACATGTTATTTAGGGTATAATATCCAAATATTATACCCTAAATAATATTTGGATATTATACCCTAAATAACATGTATCATATCCAAATATTTGGTGAACTTGCTGATGACACTGAGTATTGAAAGTTTTGACTGTGTATTTTGAGAAGCATCTGGAGGGTTTTGAGATTTTTATATTTTAGTACATGCCCTGCTTTCTCAGTCTCAGCTTTACTGCACATACAGACTTAACTTAGTTAAGAGTATGGTTATGAATCAATATTTTTTTAAAATATCTTTGCGCACACACCCTTATTTTTAGACTTGTGTCTGCTGATGCCTAACAATAACCATGTGCAATGTCATGCTGATAATGCAGCAGGCTATCATGTAACTACCTCAGTCACACAACTTCCCTTAGATGATAGATCATTGATTTAAACAAAGGAGACTTTTAAATTATTCCCCTTTTTTTCTTAGTTGTATCATTTTACACAGTAGCCTCAGGCCTGGATTCCACTAAGAATTGCTTTTTAAAATGCTTGAGGATGACTTAGTATTGGTGCAGAAATCTGTTTAACTTGGTATGTTTTTAGTTGATAAAGATCTATTTGAGCCAAAACCCATCAGTATGTCACCAGTATTCCACCTGAAATTCTTTGCTCAAAGTGATCTTAGTTCTAAAGCAAGGGGTATCCTGGCTAAAGATTGCTTAATATTTGACAACGTTACCATTAGCAATATGGCATCTCTTTGAGTATTAACAAATTACCATTTTTTAATGCTTTGATCAGAATTAATGTCACCATATACTGACTGTACTGTCTGTGTTGTTTTGATGCAAATTGTATTCCCAGAGAACTAACATTTGGTTCACTAAACAGTTTTAATTAATTTAGTGGTGTTAAAAGCAATGATGCGTAATATGTTGTTAATGAAAAAGTTCAGAATAATAGTGGTGTTAGTGGTAAAGGTGTATTGAGTTGTGTTAGTAATGATGTGTATATTAATAATATATATCCCTTAAGGAGATACATATTATTAATATATATCATTTATTAAATAAAGGGAGGCCATACCTGATCAGATCAAGGTGAAAAATGGACCGAAGAAAAGAAAGAACAAAAAGCAAAGGAAACGAAAGAGGGCAGAACAATCCACTGCTCCTGATTGTATGGAATGCCAACCAGTGCAAAATCTTAAGAAAACAAAAAGAAAAAGAAAACAAAGGAAAGGAAAGACTACAATCAAAAGCAGTGTACCTCCATGTCAGTGTAAGGACTTAAGAAGCCCTAAAAAGAAAATGAAGAAAAAGCAGTGCATTGTTCCAGGCTGTGAAACCAAAACTGTTGACTTAAAAGCCCATGCCCAAGGACTGCACATTCCATCAGTATTTGATGAGTGCCTGCCGTGTGTTGAAGAAGTTTTGGTAGAGAGAAGGAGAGCCCTCACCATGTTATATGTATGGTTGGTGGGAAGGCCCGGAAAATGGAATGACCTGGTTCAGTATGTCAACAGGGTTGTGGATTTAAGATCATTGTCTGGATGTCCCATATCCCCTGTCCAGCTGGAAGCCATGAAGACCATGTGTGACTTTGTGCGAGTCCCTTCCCCAAAGAAGTTCAGATTGCGTCCCGTTAATGCCATAGGTGTGCTGTGTCACTGGAGGGTTTTGTTGGTCATCTCGGCCATTTTGTCACCTGTTCAGAGGGAATTTTTGGTGAACACTTTTCGGTCTCCTGCAGACAGAGCCTGTCAGGCAAACGGGGTACTCGGAGGCACATCAGAGATGAGCCATGTCAGTCCTTCTGTGGGATGGAAGGAGGTTAGTTTTGATGGTCCGGCATCATCTTTGAGCAATATCAGCAGTCACCCACTGCCAGAGGTAAAAATTCAGACAGAAAACCAAGTGGTTCCTCAGTCTTTACCAGCCTGGACCAAGATCACATTTGGGGGCTCGGTGGCATTTTATTGTGATCCCAATACTTATCCCTCATTTGAAAGCCTGGATAATTGCCCAGGAAACAGGAATATAGCCATAGGTTTGCATCCTCAGTATGCCTCAGAGTCTCTCAGCTTGCAGAATAGTTGGGTGATGGCATTGGCACAGTTGGTGAAGCACCCTAGTGTTGTGGCATTAGGCCATGTTGGATTTGACTTCACAGAGCCCATGAAAGACTGGTCACGGCAAGTGCAGCTGTTGTTGAACATTTTGCCATTCCTGAAGTGGCAGCATGTTCTGGTTTTGTACTGCCATAGCAAGCTTTATGATAAACAGGGACAGCACGCCTACCTGATGCTTCTTGACCATCTCCAAAATGTCGTCCCATCCTACCATATGATCCACTTGCGGTATTTCTATGGAACCAAATATGTTGTGAAGCATTGGCTAAAGAAGTTTCCTCGTACCCATTTTGGGTTCACTGGATTGGTAGGTTCCTTCAATCCTGAGCAGAGGGCAGCACTGAAAATGCTTCGAGATTCACAGATTTTGTTGGAGTCGGACGTTCCCTATCTGTATGAAGTTGACCAGTCAGAATCTTCCAAAAAGCAACTGTTTAGAACGGCTGAACTAGTTGCAGACATAAGAGGAGTGAGTGTGGAACACATCTTAAAAGTGACTGGACAGAATGCCTTGAAGCTCTATAAGAAGCAGTAGTTTCAGAAAGGATAACATAGGTGCTAGTAGCTTTGTGGCTCACCTTATTAAGAACATTTTTTAGAACTTGCTTTTATTTCCATGTTTTACCTTGAGTGTCAGTGCCAGCTTCTTTTTTTCTTGGAACTCAATAGGTGCATTCTTTATGGGTTCTGGCATTCGGCAACTTTTTATTCAAGGCCTACGAGTCAGTCACAATTGTGACCTCGGGGTCAGTGCCAGTTAAACGGAGCTGATACAATGTGGATGGGTCTGATAACTACTTGCATGTTTTATGCTTTATTACAGGGGAATGATATTTGGATGATGAAATGTGATTTTCTTGATAAAATTGAATCAGAGGTTGCTGAATGTCAGTTTGAGAATTGAAGCACTCACATGTGGATGTTTGAAAGTGAAGAAGCTCAGGGCACATGTTGGTCTTAACAACTGGATTTTTCTTTTCTCCTTTATTAACCCCTCTTTTATTTTACTGACCCCCCCCCCCCCCCCAAACTTTTGAATGGTTTTAACCCTGCCAGGCATGTTTTTTACTCTTACAGATTGAGCTTTTTGCATGCATTTGTAAATAACAGTATTTTAATTTTAATGTTTGCATGTATGTTTTTTATGATAATTGTAAAATGTTCTTACACTCACATGCAATTTTTTAACTTTTGTTTTTTTTACAAACTATTTCTTTTTACCAAATTTGTTTACTTTTACTTGCCTGACAAAGTATTAGTCACATGCTATATCCATTTACCATCTTTGCAATTGAAAATGGCAAGCCCTATAGAAATTATATATCATTATATTTAGGAATCTCAGGTAAATGGTTTAAGGTTAGCAGACTGGTTTACACGTCTTTATAACAATTATTTTATTTTTTATACATAGAATGCAATATTACAGGTAAAAGCATTTTGTTTTTATGTAATCTTTGCATTACACCATTTTGAAAAGACCAATTGTTTTCATTTCTTAACACTAACATTATAGTGACCATGTCAATTTTATTTTATAGTGACAGGCTTCCTTTGCCAGACAACATAAAAGCCATGTTCCAAGATCAAAAAGAAAGCCAAGATATCCCAGAAGAACATGATGGACGAATAAGAAGTTTTCCACATGAGCGCGGCATATGGGCAACATATGTTTATATTCCCTGTAAGCTAGCTATACCCTTTCTGTGCACTTTGTTGTAAAAATTTTGCATAAAATACATAAATCTGATAACAAGACTCATTTTGCTCTGAAGGCCAACTTTTTCTTGAATTTGAAGTGTAAAATAATGCTATGAAAATTAAGGTACGTCCTTTTCATGCACACTAAAAAATCAAGAGTTGTTTATTCTTTGCATATAATCCCTTGGTCTGTTCAAGTCAAGTTTTTCAATATCTTATTGCTCCCTTGGAGAAAAAAGCCTATGCACTAAACAATGTGTATCTTTGTCCATCATTATGTTGCTGCCAAATACAGTAAATGTCATAGCTGCTAGTTATGCTGCCAGCATTCTTTTCCTAACAGTACATAAATTCTTTTTCTAGTTAATCCAGACGAACAGTTTCTTTACCTCATCAATGAACTACAAGCCTGTCTTCCTGGTGGACTTAACGTGAAGGTTGTGGACGACTTCCATGTCAGTCTGTCGCGGACAGTGGTGCTGAGGCATCACTGGATTGACTCCTTTGTCACCACACTCCGTGACAAGCTACACTGCGCTGTAAGGTAACGTGGCACTATACTGAAACTAGTACGTACAGTGTATGATGTTCTCAAAATACAAAAGATAGCAGATGTTGGTTGAAATAGTCCTTTTCTAAGTCTCTTGTGATGGTTTAAAATAAACCTTTTGTTAGAATACTAACAATAGACCTATATTTACATCTAAGAGGCCTCATAATTACAAATACCCAATTTAGTCTCTTTAGAAATGATTTCGGTTTTTGCTTATAAATTTTTTTCTTCTAGTTTTACTTGCCAGTTTGGTGAATTGGAAGTGTACACTAATGATGAGAAGACCAGGTAGGTATTCTTCTGTACAGTCTGTGTCAAGCCATAGGATTGCCAGACAAGTGTATTCTGTGTTGTTAGTAGACTGCTTGGATCAAAACTCATGAGGACCCTTTTTTATTGTAAATTAAATATATATTATTAATTTTTATTTGTAATGATCAAAATTAAAGCTGTTCATTTTTAATTGCTAATTATTATATGCCTGGTGTCTTTAATCTTCCAGAGATTAATTTAGCCATATAATTTCGATTTCATTTAATTTCCTTTTAGGTCTTTCCTGGGTCTAAAAGTTCAGCATGGTTTTAAAATTTTGTGCAGCTTGGTGGAAAATGTTGATAACACATTAGAGGAGTTCCATCTACAAAAGTATTATAAGGTGAAATATTGTAATAAAAGAATAAAGTCACAAGTAATTGTAAACCATCAATCTGTAATTTTAAATTAGAAATTCAAAGGGCAGTCGTTATTGGTATGCAACATTATTTAACCTCATCTATAAAACATTTAGTACTTTATTCATAGGAAAACGTGCTTATTTTGTATATAATCTGCAGTTAGTTTATGTGGTTCTGTACAGCACTCATCCATTTGATAAGTCTATAGTTAAGTAAGGGCACATTCCCAATGAAACTATAATTCTACATAGATCGACCCAACTCCGCTGGGAATCTTCCTGAATATAATCTGATTAACAGGTGTACACACCTCCTCTTGTTTCCAGCCAAGAAGAGGTGTGTTTATCTGACTGCATTCACTGAGGGTCTCTACAGAGTTGGATCGATTTCATAGAACTATAGTCTCATTGGGAATGTACCTTATATGTCTATTGCAGAATCCATCATTTCATATGAGTGTTCTCTGGGCACTGGGGGATATTACACAAGAGGTCACTCCCAAGATTAGGGCATCACTTGATGTAAGTTTCAGGTCAATCAATCTGGCTTCACAAAACGGAGAAAGGGCGTGCTAGTATGACTTAAAGAAATATTCCAGGGACAAAGAAATGATTTAGAATTATGGAAGTTAATGTCGTGATAGTATGTTCTGTCCATTTCTCACATTTTTCACCTAATTGTCTCTTGGAACATGCTTAAGAAAATGAGGTCATATTAATTTGAAAGTATATACTATAAAGAATGACAAACACTACATTTTGTTTTTATTATTCTCTTTAATATTTATTTTGAAAGTAAATGTTTAGTAATTGAATCTTACTCCAATTTAATACTTTCAATATGTACAACATATATGCATTCAGTTAATTTTGTAGATATTCCAAAGGGAGCACAATAAGCCTTACTGTTATAATTATTATAATCATTTATATATATTTTTTTTTTAGAAAATTTTGTCATCCTACATGGAAGATTGTCCACACATATTTACAGTGCAGGTCCGCCAGGTTCACTGCCAGACAGGAAATAAAAAATTCACAGTCCCTCTTGATGATAGGTGACGTCAAGAGAGAGGAAGTAGTGGTATGATGTCATGATCAAGGTCACAGCTATAAGCAAGGTCACTTGCCAAGGTCATCAAGGCCAATTGAAGGATAGGATGGGGCTGTTGAACCAATCTAGGGCATGGGGTGTTTGGAAGAGGGAAGAGACCAATACCTAATTCATCTTCACAAGAACTGTCTAGAAGAGGGGGAAACTCAAAAATTGGCTTCTTTTTTATCTTGGATTTCCCAGAATAACTCCGTTCGTGTCTCATTTGTGTTCTTAGACGAAGGGTGACTGTCGTAACTCCTGAACAGAGGGCAGATCTCTAGAGCTACCAAACTGGTGTTAAAGATTACGTGTTCAGATTGTTCTTTGACTTTTGTTTACACATTATAATTCTGAAAGAAGAAAGTTTTCATTTCAATAATGTTGTTCAGTTTGAGACTTGTTTAACAGAGTGCGAGGCAGAATTTCTCTGATCCCATGACAGCATTATACTCATCTTTATGTTTTTAGTTGGATTAAGAGAAATGTTCTGACATAATAATAGTACGCAGAATGTTTTCTTTCTTTTTTTTTTTTGATAAAACACAAACACTTGCCATTAGGGAATTTATCGAAACATATCTAGGTTTAATAGTTTAACTGAGACTAACAGAACGTATTGGAATGTGTCAAATTTTGTGAAAAAAAGTTAATTCAGATTAAAGTAAAAAAAAGTACAATTTGGAACCGTTCTTGTTTCAGTTTACATGTAAGACAGAAAGCTTATTTACCAAGGGATTGCCAATCACATATGTATTTCATCTCTTGTATTTGATAAAGCAAATCCAAAGCAATCTTGGCTCACTGAGATGATAGTGGTCAAAACAGGTGCTCTCTATGTATAATATGGTTTACAGTTTTGGTTATCTTTTACTGTTTGTTACTATTAAAAATTTGAAAATAAAATAAATGTGTTCAAGCTTTTTATGTACAGACACAGATGTGTCTGTACATATAG